ACCTCGGCAGTCCCGTAACGAAATCCATAGTAACTTCCTCCCACTTCCACCTCGGAATCGGCAGTGGCTGTAGGAGGCCAATCGGATTCTGATGCTCGGCCTTGCCTTGCTGACAGGTACGACACCGCCTGACAAACTCGGCGACGTCCTTCTTCATGCCTCTCCACCAAAACGACCCTTTCAGGTCGTGATACATCTTCGTGCTCTCGGGATGGGCCAAGTAAGGTGCGGTATGTGCCTCTGATAGAATCTCCTTCCGCAATGCCTTGGCCTTCGGGACCACGATCCTGCCTCTGAACTCCAAGGCACCATCGGCGCCTAGCTGAAAGTCCTGTGCTCCTCCGGCGCGAACCTTGGCCTCCATGACACGCACAAACTTGTCAGAAGCCTGCTCTCGCCGGATCCTCTCCCTCAGTGTCAGCTGAAGCTGCATAGCACTGACACTGGCACTAGTGCTCCCCGAGACAGCTGTGGGGAGTGCAGTAATCGCCTAAAGTTGCATCCGGGCAAACTCATGAATCAATGGACTCTGCTGCGTAATGACGTACGTCAAGTCTCCCGTCACCTTTCGGCTTAGGGCATCTGCGACGACGTTCGCCTTCCCCGGATGGTACTGGATAGCACAATCATAATCCTTGACCAATTCGAGCCAACGGCGCTGCCTTATATTAAGCTTCTTCTGTGTGAAAATGTACTGTAGGCTCTTATGGTCAGTGAATATCTCGCAGCGTCCGCCGTAAAGATCATGACACCAGATCTTCAGGGCGTGAACGACTGCGGCTAACTCCAAGTCGTGCGTAGGATAGTTCTGCTCATGAGGCTTAAGCTGACGTGAAGCGTACGCAACGACCTGTCCGTCCTGCATAAGGACACATCCCAGGCCCTGCCTCGAAGCATCGCTAAAAATAGTGAAACTCCGAGAAGGATCGGGAACAGTCAACACCAGTGCTGAATTTAACCTCTTCTTGAGCTCCTCGAAAACAGTAAAACTGGAATGTACAAGCTTAACTTAAAGCTTATACTTACTGATTGCATGACTTGAGAATCCAGTAATTTAATACTGAATAAAAGACTTAATCAATTCACAATTAAGTGAATTGTAGAATACTGCTGACTGAAAATGGACACTTTCTGAAAGAAAGTGTTCTACTTGCTAAGATATGATCTCAAAACGAAACTCTGAAATATGTTGGTCGTTCTCTTTTGGCTGCTGGCGGATCTCCGATCGGAATGCTGGTGGTGAAGACTCTTTCCGCAATCTCCCCGTGTACTAAGATTCAGACATGGCATCCTTCAATGGAAAGCGTCGGTTTATCATCATGGCACGAT